GCGGCTGGGCCAGCTGTGAGTGATCAGTGAAGCGCTGGGCCACCTGTGTGCAGAGATAGGGACACAGCACCGTCTGGTTACTCAAACAGCGCGATCTGGGTACTCGGAGGTAGGCTTTCATGCTGGCTCCTACTCCATGGCTCTGTTGATTACGTTCATCCCCTTAATTTCAAGGAAAAAGGGAAAAGAAGCTGTCGTGCTTGAAAAGTACTGTTTTTGTGTCAGGTTTGAACCTGTGCAGCTAGTAGTTAAATCATAACCGCAATGTGAGTCCGTGATACCCTGTTAAATAAATCTTGGTTGCTAACTGTGCATCCTGGGGGCATAAACAGTGCTGGTGTTCCCAGTGACGTGATGGAGGAACAGTGGAGTGAAGTGGGAGGGAGCTATAATGTTGCTAAATTCATCACTTGTGATGAGGATATGAGTTTCTTGGGTGAATTTATGTACGCAGTCAAGGTAATAGCCTATAAACATTCGGGGGTGCAATTTGTGTGCCTACACAAGAACCAAGTGACATGGCTGTCAGATGTAACTTAGGTGCACTTAATTACAAAAATAGCATCTTCGTTGGGGTCAAATATCTCTTCTAACCTCCAGTATTGCCTTAATATTATTTTCATGAAAAAAGCAAACCCCAAAATGTTCAGGTCTAAATGCCTAAAGCAGATCTTTTTTGTACTTACATGCCAAAACATAATATATTCCTTGCCACAGTTGCTGTATGAGTTTAAGTTTTCTCGTGTAAGCTTGCAGTTCTGCACAAATTCTGTTTCTGTAGGATTGCCAACAGAATTGACTGTATATATTGATTTAGGATCTTCACATAAAGAATTTGTATTTAGATGACTGAAGCCTAGAGGAACCTCTGTAAGAAATAGCTTTAGTGGTGGTCTGGCAAATAAATTAGATGCTTCCCTTCAGAGCACGTGTTTAATCTCTCCACGGCCAAGAAATGAGTGATTGGACAGTGTGAACTTTGAAGAAGTTTGGATAACTGGTGTGTGAAGTGTTACTTGGTTGCATGGAGGGTGAAAGATTATTAATTCTGCTATTAACAGCACCAAATGCTACAGGAGAATCTAGGTGCATGCAGAGTCCGGCCATAGCAGGCTTGAATACTTGCAGCAACTTGGATGTTGCTGAAGTAAATTACTCACATTGCTGTTTTTATTTTTTTTTCTGAGAAGTGGATGTCTGATTATTGAAAGGTCTCTTGAATAACGTGTTCTGCCTTTTGATCTGGTGAAGCTGGAGCCTCAGCTCCAGTAAGGAGTAAGGAAAAGTAGGCGCAGCCGGTGTTATCTAGACCCAGTCAGGCCGTAAAGCTGATGTTTTTCCACCAGGTCTTATGGGGTCCTGATAAGCAAAGGCACAGTTGGAAATAAAGATTGTATTTCATTATTTTTCTTGGAAGTTCTAGATAAACCTTCCAATGTGGAAGTGTATTTACCCCAATCTAATGATACAAATTTTCAGGGCTGATTTAGGCAGAATGCTGTATCTGATTAAAAATGTCCATCTGATACAGTGACAGTGTCATTTCTGATTCCTTTGGAGGACCCGGGAATTGAAGAACTGAGTTCAGTGTCAGTTAGGCTGGCACTGAAGTGGGGAGGTGCTGAGACAATTTACACATGTGTTTTTTCAACTATCCAACTGTCCAGCTGGAGAGAGATAGAAAGTAGACAATGCATTGCAGATAATAAATACGATGTAAGTTGAGAGGAGGTTACTTTATATTTCCATGCTGTAGTCAGGTGTTACCATGCAGCCCAATAATGCAGATCAGCTGTCCGTTTTGTTCTGTAGTATGCATTTTTCTAATGTGCAAGTTAAAGCCTTGAACTCAAAGTCTAAAGCACAAGGGGTGAGTTCATCTCTTTCAGCTGTTTTTATTAATGTGAAGAATTGTGTGGGGTATGTTTCAGGCCAATACGTTTCCTCAGCTATCAGTAATAGCTGTGCAGTTCCATGGTTTTGTTTCCTCTGGACAACATTTACTTAAAATGAGGATTACCTAGGGTGCTTTTTAAATACAGCAAAAAGATGTTAAGCTAAGGCTGGTTTGGCTTCTTGTTGTAGAAAGGGAGACCTTGGTATTTTCTGCAGTCTTTACTGTCCTTGATGTAAAAGAGATTTGGTGATCTATAGGAGTTACAGCCACAGTGTTTTGTGGCTTCTGTTTTCTTTTACCATAAAAGTAAATGTTCCAAGATGTGCCGTACTTGTACAGGAAAGCAGATTTCTACATACAAATGTGCTTGGCTGGAAACAAGTGACATTCTCTGTCTGTTTTAGTTCATGAAGGCAGCCCGCTGGGAGAGCTTCACCGCTGCGTCCGAGATGGTGTAAAAATCAACGTCCATATCCGCACTTTCAAGGGCCTTCGTGGAGTCTGCACAGGGTTTTTGGTTGCATTTGACAAGTTTTGGAATATGGTAATTATTGTTCCCTTGATTTATGCTGAAACTTGCAACAGGCTTAACCAAGTTACATTTTGAGAATAAGTGTAATATTGTGGCCCATAAAGCTAATTTGTCCTAGCACCAAGTGCTGGATTTCCAGTCCTGGTGTAGGACTAGAGTATCTGAGGGATGCTTAGCCATTTTAGAGAAGGTCTTAGGTGAGGATCAGGGGGAAACTTTGAAGAATTCCCGACAGTTTAAAGGGTTCAGATTAGAACACAGCAAAGTAGAATGTGAAAAGTTTTCTGTACAAAATCCAAACATCTTATAATGGCAGCCAATTTTCTTTCACTAATGAGTTTTCTTTTACTAACAAGTCACTTGCATGTCAG